TGCAATTAACGTGTAGTTAATTCCAGGAACAGGGAGACAAAACACTGAGAGCACAGCAGCCAAGGTTACAGGTGCGTGTGCTCAGTCAGGACAGTATGAACTGATAAACTGGGTCAAAGTTATGGACCTTGGAAAATATTTCCCCAACAGTCAATTTTGATAACCTAAAACCTTAGTCTAATAATATTTTGGTTCAATACTTAAATCAATGGGAATCTTCAGATTTGAGTGTGGACTTACACAACATCAATTACATCAATAACAATCACATTAAGAACAACATAATAAGATTGAAACATTCAATCACAATGATTGAGACAGCCAATCATAATAGAAAAATCATCTCTCGTCAGTGTTTGGAGCATGTTTTGTCAAAAGCATAATAATAAACACACAGATGCACAATAGCAAAAATATTTGTTTTAAACTAATATCTTTTATCATTTAACCATTTTTAACCATTAATCTCATTTATCAAACTATAAAATCAAAACCAGCTTGCAGCTTAAAGATTTACTTCAAGGCAATAACTAGTCAAAAGCATTTTAAACTTAGGATCATAAGAGATCCAGCTAAGGTATAACAATTCACAGTGGTGATTTGATCAATCTGTAATCTGCAAAATTGCAGTCACGGTGAGAGTTGGAGCTTTTGATGTCAAACACTGATGGGTTTATTCAGAGTATCGGCCGGAGAATTCACATCACAAGTCACGAGCCAGAGGGTCTGACTTCACGGTAGAGTTGCCACGTCAATTCTGAAGAACTCTACCCCAGACCCATGTATTTAGTTCAGAGAGAATAATCAACATTGTGCATAACAAGATAGAATCATAACACCTCTATCAGCTGACGCCAACAGGCAGGAACAGGGAGACAAAACACTGAGAGCACAGCAGCCAAGGTTACAGGTGTGTGTGCTCAGTCAGGACAGTATGAACTGATAAACTGGGTCAAAGTTATGGACTTTGGAAAATATTTCCCCAACAGTTTAAGGAAGCAGACAAAAGTATAAAACTCACAAGTCAGTACGGTGTTGCACAAATCACTCTGACACAGGATTCAAGGTAAGATCAAAGCATGACAAACAATGCACAATAGAGAATTTAAACATTATTGAATTATCATTATTATCATTATTATTATTGCATTAAGTTTCAGCATGTTGTTTTGTTTGTCTTTGTCTTAGATGGTGTGTATCTTCTACTGCTGATGCTCACAGCCTGTGCTGCCACTCCTCAAGGTGAACATTTCATCTTCATTTAAAAAAGAGAAAACCAAAGTAAAATATCACAAGAAAGATACATGCGAGTGGATCTTGAGTACAGGAGTTTGTTATCTTTAGACTGTGTGTGTGTGTGTGTGTGTGTGTGTGTGTGTGTGTGTGTGTGTGTGTGTGTGTGTGTGTGTGTGTGTGTGTGTGTGTGCGTGTGTAAACATACTGTAAATTACATTAACCTTAAAAACCTTTTATAATATTCCAACTGGACATTGGGGTTGTTACATGTACCACACAAAACTTTTTTTTCAAGCAGTAGGCCATTTATTAGGTCACTACAGCATATGCGCAATAATGTATTTCTGTATTGTAAAACTTTCACAAACATTTAACCTTTATTTTTTGTTTTTGTAGATCTCTCCGGTAAAATGTTTACCTTCCCTCAGGAAAGCAACACAGCTTATGTGAAACTGACACCAGAAAGAGTGGATTTTGGAGCTATAACTGTCTGTCTCAGGTAGTATGCAAAGTGCAAAGCCAATAAACATATCTATATAGAGTATAACTGAAAATAAATGCATTCAATTTTTTTATTTCAATTCCTGCAGGACCATTACAGACCTCAACAGGAACCACGCCCTTTTCTCTCTGTCTGCAACACCCTCTGATAATGCTTTTCTCATATTTAAGCCTACTGCTGATGGGATTCTAATCTATGTCCTTGGTCAAAAAGAAACATGTGGGGGAGAGGACTACAAAGTGAACACGTGGCACTCAATATGTTCTACATGGGACTCTGTGACCGGTGTGGTGCAGCTGTGGCTAGACAACAAGCCCTTCATTAGGAAATATTTTGGTGGAGTAAGAATCAGAAATCCTTCTATTGTCATTGGACAGGTAAGTTTAATTTATAAGTAAAATAGTTGATAGAATTCCAGAAATGTCTCTTGATTGGTTAAATTCTGATTCATTTATTCTGTGAAGTACTGATTGTAAAACAAAACATTTATTGCATGGAAATATTTTGTTCACAGCTCACTACAGAAGCACTTTCTATCAAAGCTGTTATCTTATCAGTCTGATCATTTTACAGGAGCAGGATTCCCATGGTGGAGGATTTGACAAAAAACAGTCTTTTGTTGGCATGATCTCTGATGTCCACATGTGGGACTACACCCTCTCCGCCTGTGAGATCCAGAAGTACATGGTTGACAGAAACCTAACTCCGGGTAATGTGCTCAATTGGAAGGCGCTGGACTACACAACCTACGGAAGAGTGCTGACGGAACTAAAAACCATTTGCTCATGTACAGAATAAATACAAACAAATATATAAATGTCATACTCCTGACGAGGCTTTTTCTTTTGAGTATGACATTCAAACACCCTGTAAACCTGAACAGTGCATTAATCAGCTTGATCAACACAATTACCTATTTTCTGATCACCATCTTAAATGTGTGTGTTTAATTTTTCTTATTAAATCTGCAAATTGTTATTTGTAACTAGATGACATTTGTGATATATCCTTTTGTCTGCCATGTTTGCTGCAACTTGTATGATGCTCTTCCTGACAGTTCATTAAAAATGGCACATTCTGCAGTCCTGTCTCCTGTCCGTCATTCTGACATAAATCATTTAATAATCTTCATTTCTTTGCATTTATTGTATAGTTTTGACATTTTATTATTATATCATGGTCTTACCAGAATCAATGTTAATACAAAAGTTCAAGGCCTAGACCTTAAGAGAATGGCTTGTGACTACAACTATTACGTCTAGATATTGATCCTTATTTTGTGGGTTTTTCACCCAACATTTTATAACTCCATTACATTTTTGTTCATAAGCCTTTTTCAAAAAAATAAAGGTTTAGATGGATTTAGGAACTCCCCCTCGATTCTATTGGCTCTAACGGTTCAAAAGTGGTGTCAATCATCAAAATCGACCGATGGGTTCCAGAGATATGGCAAATACACCCAAATGACCCCAGAAGTGGTTTTTTTCCCTAGACCTCTCTGAAAAGGTCAAATGCCACTTGTTTTACATCAATCTTGATACAGGGTACTTATTATATGTTATCGTTTGGATTCTTAAAGCTTTTAGTCTACTATCCCATCATTCAAGGGTGGTTTTCACTATAAGTAATGTTTTTTTTTGGGACGGAAACTATAATTTACATTTTTTTAGTATAATATGCCTTATGAACACCATCAATTACTAACGAGGAAGGATGAAAGAAAAAAACATGAAATTAACAACCACCATAAGGAAGCAGACAAAAGTATAAAACTCACAAGTCAGTACGGTGTTGCATAAATCACTCTGACACAGGATTCAAGGTAAGATCAAAGCATGACAAACAATGCACAATAGAGAATTTAAACATTATTGAATTATCATTATTATCATTATTATTATTGCATTAAGTTTCAGCATGTTGTTTTGTTTGTCTTTGTCTTAGATGGCGTTGTATCTTCTACTGCTGATGCTCACAGCCTGTGCTGCCACTCCTCAAGGTGAACATTTCATCTTCATTTAAAAAAGAGAAAACCAAAGTAAAATATCACAAGAAAGATACATGCGAGTGGATCTTGAGTACAGGAGTTGTTATCTTTAGACTTTTTGTTACTTACTTTTTGGGTATGTACAACATATTTAATCTCCTAATTGACTAGGATTATGGAAAATATTTCCCCAACAGTTCCTCTCTTTTTATCAATTTTGATAACCTAAAACCTTAGTCTAATAATATTTTGGTTCAATACTTAAATCAATGGGAATCTTCAGATTTGAGTGTGGACTTACACAACATCAATTACATTAATAACAATCACATTAAGAACAACATAATAAGATTGAAACATTCAATCACAATGATTGAGACAGCCAATCATAATAGAAAAATCATCTCTCGTCAGTGTTTGGAGCATGTTTTGTCAAAAGCATAATAATGAACCCACAGATGCACAATAGCAAAATATTTTTTTTAAACTAATATCTTTTATCATTTAACCATTAGATAATCTCATTTATCAAACTATAAAATCAAAACCAGCTTGCAGCTTAAAGATTTACTTCAAGGCAATAACTAGTCAAAAGCATTTTAAACTTAGGATCATAAGAGATCCAGCTAAGGTATAACAATTCACAGTGGTGATTTGATCAATCTGTAATCTGCAAAGTTGCAGTCACGGTGAGAGTTGGAGCTTTTGATGTCAAACACTGATGGGTTTATTCAGAGTATCGGCCGGAGAATTCACATCACAAGTCACGAGCACAGCAGCCAAGGTTACAGGTGTGTGTGCTCAGTCAGGACAGTCTGAACTGATAAACTGGGTCAAAGTTATGGACTTTGGAAAATATTTCCCCAACAGTTTAAGGAAGCAGACAAAAGTATAAAACTCACAAGTCAGTACGGTGTTGCACATATCACTCTGACACAGGATTCAAGGTAAGATCAAAGCATGACAAACAATGCACAATAGAGAATTTGAACATGACTGAATTATCATTATTATCATTATTATTATTGCATTAAGTTTCAGCTTGTTGTTTTGTAAAATGATTGGTCGTGTAAAGTATTACAAAAAGAAAGAGTTCGGTACAAAACTCAACTTTATAGCAAATACAAATATAAAATGAATGCAAAAATAAACTGAGACTAGAGACATAGAGACTAAGTCAATAATGTTAATGTTAACTATAATGTTAACTCACGTAAAATATACTGAATCACAATTAACATTGACAGTAAACTATTTTAGGGCATGTCAAGTAAATAATCGCTAAAAGTTTACAGAAGGTGCAGAATTATCCTTAAACAGAATGAAATGCACATTGATTATACGGTATGTGTAATATATTAATATATGAATAATGTACACTATAAAGATCATTGAGTCAGTCCTTGTTGTACTATAAAGTGAGAGAAGGCGTTACTGTCAGTAGAGTCCTCTGTTGTTGGAACTTAAAGATTATAAATCATGTTGCTTGGACTTTTTATGTCTATTTATGTAATTTCACTCAACCGCAAATACAGTACGGTGTTGCACAAATCACTCTGACACAGGATTCAAGGTAAGATCAAAGCATGACAAACAATGCACAATAGAGAATTTAAACATTATTGAATTATCATTATTATCATTATTATTATTGCATTAAGTTTCAGCTTGTTGTTTTGTTCGTCTTTGTCTTAGATGGCGTTGTATCTTCTACTGCTGATGGTCACAGCCTGTGCTGCCACTCCTCAAGGTGAACATTTCATCTTCATTTAAAAAAGAGAAAACCAAAGTAAAATATCACAAGAAAGATACATGCGAGTGGATCTTGAGTACAGGAGTTTGTTATATTTAGACTTTTTGTTACTTACGCTTACTTTTTGGGTATGTACAACATATTTAATCTCCTAATTGACTAGGATTAATCAAATATAAGATTTATATTAATAGCAACAATTAGGCAACATATATCGATCATATGAGTAACTTACCAGTAGGTCAATAGGAATACATCTAATGCGTTTGTCATAAAAACAATTACGCAAATTCAACATTACTCAAGTGATTTGATTGTTGGCTTCAACTTCACTAAACATCTTTTTATGAAACATTCAGATCCAATTTGTCAACTGAATGTCTTTTTGCTGATCCTACTTTCATATACTGATTTTAAATATCTCTCTTTCATATAGATCTGTCAGGTCAAATGTTTACCTTCCCGCAAGAAACTAACTCAGCTCATGTGAGGCTGACAACATCAAGACAGGTTCTGAGTGCTGTAACCCTCTGTTTCAGGTAGTGTTCAATATGAAATGACAACGAAAGGAACATACTGTGTCTCTGATGGGAATCATCATGTGTGATAATGTCTTTGTTTTGCCTACAGGGCCTTTACAGATCTCCGTAGAGAGATCCACCATTTCTCTTTGTCCACACCTTCCGCTGCCAATGATTTTTTGATTTGTAAGCTAGCTGCAACTGATAAGTTTGAAATGTGGATCAGGAATACAAAAATGGACTTCATAGTGCAGGGCTACAAACTGAATACTTGGCACTCACTTTGTTCCACCTGGGACTCTGGATCTGGACTGTTTCAGATGTGGTTAGACGGACAGCCCTCATCTAGGAGATTCATGAGCGCTGGATCCAGCATCAGTGGGCCCATTATAATTGTTTTAGGCCAGGTAAAGTTTAAAGCACAGGAATGTTTCTGCATTATGGGAAATGTGCTGACTAGCTTTTTTTGCAGAGAGTTATATAAGAGGAATAACACCATAGTCATACAATAGGTTAATAAAGCTTTTCTCATCTAACTCGAAGGTCAGCAAATACATTCCCACAAATGTCAACTCATCCCTATCTTGTGATGTGTTGTATCTGTTTAAACTATACAGTAAATCATAAAAACCTAGCATTGCAGAACAAAGCTGTTGGCTTACATTTTTTTCATTTCACAGGACCAGGATTCCCATGGTGGAGGGTTTGACATTGCTCAGTCTTTTGTTGGCATGATGTCTGATGTCCACATGTGGGACCACGTCCTCTCCCCCTGCGAGATCCAGAACTACGTGCATCATCTACACTTCCCCCCAGGGAACGTGCTCAACTGGAACGAGCTGGAGTTCCAGATCATCGGAAGAGTGCTGATTGAAGATAAACAAAAGGTCGAGACCTGCTATTAAACCTTATGCATAGAAAGTCAATAAACAATATGAAAATACATTCACTTAAGAGAGAATAACATCAATGCATTCAAATGAACTTTGAATACATCAAAAAAAGGTTTATAGATAGTCACCAAATTATTATTATTTATTTTAGATCAGGCATTACTCATATGTTTATAGTACAGTTGTAGAGTTGTTTTGTGTTTAATAATTATAATAATAATAATTTACCTGTACTACCAAAGCTTAACAAAACAATGTCAGGAAAATATGAGTTTTATAAACACCACAGATTATCTAAACTAAATGTCTATGTACGTCGTTTGCATAGGTAAGACTTTATAACTCTTTGACCATTTTTAAGCTTATTGTGTGATTTTTTAACTATCTTTAGTTGTTAGAAAATCTTAAGAATCGGATGGAGTTATTACAACCATATAAGTGTGTTTTTGTATACCATAAAAATAATATATATTAAGTGTACATTTTGCAATTCTGGGTAATTTCTTCATAAAATGTGGTCCGTGATCATTCTCCACAATGTCACCTGTTTATGTGGGTGCGGGGTTGCTTTGCTGTTTATTTTGACACCATATTTTTCAATAAATGTGTTCTCCAAAAGTTTTGCTTAATTTCCAGTGTAGAGATAATGAATGATTATTCTGACGCCCAGCAACACATATAGGGCTCAAGGAAGAAATGAACCCAAATGCACAAATTATAAGCAAGTTAAAGTCAACCTGGTCTCACCAGAATGCGTGACTCCACGACTCCTTAACACCACAGTGCGTGGTGGAGTAACGAACTTTGCTACATTTACGTGTCTGCACCACGCAAACAACCCCAATGTAAAGTGAATGAGGCTCCTTTGTCGTGGTGCACACACGCATTTCTACAACGTTCCGCAGTGAGCTTTTATTCTATACAACGTTTTTAAAATCTACTTTATAGCTTGTAGTAACTCACGGGAGGCTTCTTTTATTTTATTTGTATTCATAATAATTTTTATTTTTCGTCAGAATGTATTATGGTGCATTTACCAATTTTTGTTCTCAAAAAACAGTGCATTGTGTGTAATACAACTGTGATTTTTATTAAATTAGTTAGTTTTTAAGGAAGGCCAGAGCTTCAGCTGTGTCAAATAGATTGTTCCCTTTAGTTAACGTTATTTAAAAGATAATTATATTCCTATTTGATCATGTCCCCTTTATTGTATTACGGACCCAGAGAGCAATGTGAGCGTCCATTCCCATTGGATAACGGAGGATTTTACACCCGGAAGTAAGTATTCTCCTTACTGTCGATTGATTTTATTTACAGTGATATCTGCACTACTCATCAACTCAAAAACACCAGATTATCCTTGTTAATTACACAACATTGATTGGTTTATATTGTGTACAATGCTTTTGTATTTTCCCCTTTCGATTCGGAGAAACAAATATTTGTTCGGAGTTTTTGGATGGCAGAAGACACTACACTACCCTGAATCCTCAGCTATGGGACTACACCATGTGCTTAGAACGTGTCCTACCCATAGACTGTATATATAAAGGTCCTACCCCTTAGGTCACAGGCTCCTCCAACAGACAAACTAGTGCAGTAAATACAAAAAGAAAAATAGTAAAATAGTAAAAAGTGAAATAGTGCAATAAGAGTCTATATACAAGTGATTGGAATATGATATATTAGATAAATAATTTCTAAGTAGCAGCCAGATGAATGTTATGGATGTTGTTTCAAAGTTCAGGTGTTTAATAGTCTTATGGCCTGTGGGATGAAGCTGTCCCTGAGTCTGGTGGTTTTAGTCCGGATGCTGCGGTACCGCCTGCCAGACGGCAGCAGACAGAACAGTTTGTGGCTGGGGTGATGGGGGTCTTTTATAATCCTGAGGGCTTTCTTTAAGGTTAACCAGGTATTTTTACTCCACTACATTTATTTTAGTTACTTTACAGATTTGGATTAATGATATGAAATATAAACAACCCTTAAATCAGACTTTAGTTACACCTGAGTAAAATTCAGTGAAGGTGATTGCCAAGTGCCAACAATCAGGCGAGATATTTGGTAGTGGGTGCTTGAGAAGACTAAATATTTATCTGCAGATCCCTATAAAGTATATTCATTACTCGTTATTCTCTACTAATAGTTAATTAAAAACTGTATATAATGGCTATTTTGCACATCCCTTTCAAGATTTCAAGATTTTCTAACGTTTATTGACATATCATATACACAACTACGGTGTAGTTATGCAATGAATGAAAAATGTGGGTCACAGGTTCCTCAACAGGGCATTACAAGACATCTATCGATATCTGTGTACCTCCACCATTAAACATATTCTGCACATTTCTTATACTATCTACATACATCTTATAAGAGTATAATTAATATGTATAATATCAGTTAAAATAAGTGCTTCAACATAGTTAACATTGCAGGAAAGTTGATTGTCAAGTTCCAAAACAAACCATGCAATATATTAGACGTTAAGTACTTTGTCAGGCTTAATATCTGTAGATACCCCCAAAGCTTTTTTCTTATTTAAAAGAAGACCTTAACCGAAAGTATTCTTTAATGTTTAAATAAAGCCTTATTAGTTTGTCTGTTTTGCACATCCTCCTATCAGGCACTAAACTGTTTTATTGTAGAGATCACTTACAGTATCTTCTTGATATTTTCTATTCTATATTATTTATATCATTGACCTTCCACTTTCCCACTATATTAAGAGTATGTACTCTTAATATTTAAATGTTTTCATCAAATATAACACATTCAAAATGCTTTACAAAAATGAAAGACATTAAGAAAAAGGCATTTTAAAACAGTTATTAAAAAGCAACACAATCTACCTGCATTGCAATTACTCTAAACGTGTAATAACGTGCTTTAACCAGTAGGAGGTGCGGGTTAAAAAGCTGTCAAGTTTACAGTGTTAACAAAATAAAATATACTGCTGTTTCTGGTTTAGTTTACGACGGATATATTCTGTTATTGTTTTGATATTTGTAACACAAAAGCGATGTAAAAAACCCACAGCAACACAGAAAAGATGGTCTTAACATGACCCAGTCTAGTAGTTAATAAAAAACAATAATATCAAAACAAATTATTACTACTAACTTTATTGTGAAATTAAAACATATCGGTAAAATAATAGTTTCCGGTCTATTCTGAGGCCCGATCTCTGTAGATAAATAAAGAACTACGACAGATGTGTAATGTTTAATGCAGCCAAACCATTCATTACAATGCATTCATGTGATGACTTTCAAAGAGTCATCACATAGCAGCAAGCACTGCTGAATAAAGTATGATTTTATCTTTTCCGAAACGTTTTTTTTCCATATGGAATGCAATTGGAGGTCAACCAATCACAGAGCTTGACGCAAAGCGGAACAATAGCTGAGGATTCTGGGTAGTGTAGTGTCTTCGGCCATCCTAAACTCTGAACACATATTTGTTTCTCCGAATCGAAGGGGAAAATTACAAAAGCATTGTACACAATTTAAACCAATCAATGTTGTGTAATTAACAAGGATAATCTGGTGTTTTTGAGTTGATGAGTAGTGCAGATATCACTATAAAATCAATCGACAGTAAGGAGAATACTTACTTCCGGGTGTAAAATCCTCCGTTATCCAATGGGAATGGACGCTCACATTGCTCTCTGCGTCCGTAATACAATAAAGGGGACATGATCAAATAGGAATATAATTATCTTTTAAATAACGTTAACTAAAGGGAACAATCTATTTGACTCAGTTGAAGCTCTGGCCTTCCTTAAAAATGAACTAATTTAATAAAAATCACAGTTGTATTACACACAATGCACTGTTTTTGCCGATTTTCGGGACTCGTGACTCGACTCGGACTCGCGCACTGATTGACACGACTCGGACTTGGACTCGTGAATTCTCGCGCACGATGACTTGGACTCGGACTCGGACTCATGAATTATCGCGTACGCTGACTTGGACTCGGGTTGCGGTCGAATAGTCCAAAAATCAGCTCCTAAGTTCTAACCCTATCGTCTATTCCTTGACCTCTGAGTGAAACGTCATGGGGTTAAGGGATAGTGGATAGGAGAATTCAAAAGGACTTAGGAGAAGAGACTGCGGTACTTTAGAGAATCCGACTGCACTTTCACTATCCGACGTGTTTATGATGCGCCAGCGGAGGTCATAAATGTGCGCCTGCTGCTGTGGTGAAACTATGGAAACTACAGTTTTCTATACAGCGGGGATGTTTAATAAGAACGAGGGACTACTGTAAACTCATCTAGAGACTCTGCACCGTGCTCTGATGCTGTTGTTTTATGCTTTATGAACGGGGACAACAGAGAAACATATTCTTCATGACCAAAGTTGGAATTGAAATAAAAAAGGAAAGTGAAACTTATGCTCGTCACCCTCTCTCTCCGGTCCACATTAATACAAATGATCCCAATACGTATGATTGTATGAAAAGATCTTAAAATCAATACAAATGTATTTATTATAAACGTTAGTCCTTAACATCTATCACTGTGTATATCACCATTCAAACATCTTTTAAATGTTGAACAAACCCCACACAGCTCAGTAAAGACTATGAAATGTTGACTTTATTTGATCATTTCAGTAAAAACTAACGTTCATATTTCTCTTTTTGATTATAATACTGATGAACGTTCAAAACAAAGCACTTTGGCAACTTACCACTTACGTTTTGAAATGCTTAATAAGCACCGTAACTTTCATGATATCATTTCTCGTTCATAATCGGTTGTTTCCCTGAACGGCCGACTGTTGTGTGACGGCAAATGCCGCGGCCGCAAGGCATTGTGGGGCAGCATTTTCTCCTCTCCTTTCGGTTAGGGAGGTCCAGTGGTTCCTAAGCTAAAGGAGGTTATAAAGGAAGTTTGAAACCTCCTTTCCTTTCATTTAGAGAATTCGAACGGCACTTATCATGGCTGCCACTGAGGGACCTCCGGGTCATTTCACTCCGTTAGGAAGGTTCCTAAGCTAAATGGACTATTCGACCGCAACCTAAATCTTTATCAGTAAATAGAATAGAATAGAATAGGGAGGGATGAAACCCTCTTTAATGGTCACACATGCAGAGCACACAGCACACACAGTGAAATTTGGCCTCTGCTTTTAACCCATCCTAGTACCAGGAGTCTAGTACTAGGAGCAGTGGGCAGCTATTGTACAGCGCCCGGGGACCGGTTTAAACCGATTTAACCGGTAAAAGTTCCTTCAAAATAAGAGTCCCGATCTTATTACTATCAAAATAAACGTGCAAAACGAAAACTTCACCATAGGAAAATATTGGCATACAAATATAATCACTTCTCTAAAAGGTAACTCATTTTAAATATAGTTTATTTATATATAATAATAATAATATTAATATTAGTAATAAGCTTTATATTTGTATAGCACCTATTACAAGAATGGTAGCCAAACTGGCTTCACAGCAGTCCAATAGACACATTAGTATAACATGACAGGATAAAAGCAATGTAGAGGAGCAGCTACATTTCAACACATATATCCACGAAGATTAATACATGAAGACTTGTGACTCGGACTTGACTTGGACTCTTCTTAGGTGACTCGGACTTGGACTCGGACTCGAACACAGGTAATGATGACTCAGACTCGGACTCGGACTCGAACACAGGTGATGATGACTCGGACTCGGACTCGACTCGGACACTCCTTGGGTGACTCGGACTTGGACTCGGACTCGACTACGACTCTCCCTTGGTGACTCGGACTTGGACTCGGACTCGAAGAGTGGTGACTCGAGAGTGACTTGGACTCGTGAATTGGTGACTTGACTACAACACTGCCCACTACTACTTATTTTGGATTTTAAAATAAAGGCAGAGATGCTGCTCCATGACTGCTGTGCAGGGCCGGCCCTAGACTTTTGGGGGCCCTAAGCGAGCTTTGGCTTGGGGGCCCCCCTCACTCTAGCACGTTCTCACTTCACACAACATGGAACCAACTTTTGTCTTATGATGTTAGCATAAGCACACATATTGTATAAATAAGCATGTAAACACCGTGAACCTAACATCCTCTAGGGGGGTCCTCACCTCCTCTAGGGGGGTCCGGGGGCATGCTCCCCCGGGATTTTTTTTTTTTAAATATTGAAGTTAAAAGCATGAATCTGGTGCACTTTGAGAGCAACATTAAGAGATCTATGGATACATCTCTCAACACCCATATGAAACAGAACTGTAAACAGATTTTTCTTTATGGATATTTTACAAATCACTCCCCTTTTAAACTGTATTCTTGTTTTGTCATATAGTATTTCATAACTGTTTTTCATTTATTCTCTCTGGCTGTCCATCTCATAATGTTCACATACAAACTAGCTGTCAATAGGAATATCATTCAGAAGAATTATAATTTCATGCAAAAATCGGTCACAAAAAGAGTTTGCACATATAAATTCAATGTGTTGTTATGGCAACGTCAGTGGCCAAACAGCCACATTTACTGCTGCAAATACGTTCAAACATGCTGTCGAAACGTAAAGCAGTGGCAACTATGCCACCATTTCAGCTGACTTTTTCTCATAAATACTGTCACATAACATCCATATATTTCAGTGCTGCTTAGCTAAGCTAACTATGAAACACTTTAACTGACAGGACTCAGGATCAACTGTGTACTGTAAGGTAGCTTCTAGCTTCATGTCGAACAGTAAGTCAACATTTCCCAGAGAGCGTTCTTTGAAATCACCAGGTAACGCTAAAAAACATTACATTTAGATTGTATGACAAAGCGTTTATTTAATATATCTGGCTAACTATAGCTACTTGCTAACGGTTTAGCTTACCCCCGCGATTCAAAGTAACGTCAACGCAGCTGTAATTTCTCCTGGCTCAAGTGCTGGCTCTGGGGTTGTTGTGTGAACCACCACTTGACAATTGTTGTCTTTTTTAAGAACAAATGTTCTTATGTCCATCTTCAAAAACTCTGAGTCTGAGACTGACAGTTTATTTTAAACATTGTCACAGCTCACAGGATAGGTACCTGTCAGCCAGACAGATGTTTATTTCCATTCAACTCTCTGGTTGGTCTGGTGTCTTGCCTCTGTTGCATTCACTGAACACGGGAAATGACAATCCTGCCGTCCTCTCTAGTGTCATGATGAGGTTCAGGTAAAGCACGGTTAATGTATTATATGATTGACTCAATAATATATATATATTTTTTCAGTTTTTGCTAGGGGGCCCTTAGTGGCTGAGGGGCCCTAAGCGGCCGCTTATGTCGCTTAATGGGTCGGGCCGGCTCTGCTGCTGTGTATAATACCCTGACAACTTCATAATATTGTGCTGTGGAGCTGTCAGCTTGTTTGAAAGGTCATTTGCCCCCTACTGGCCAACAAGTGATAAATAAAGCTTTAATTAAAATAGTTGTTTTTTTTAAATATTATAATAGTATAAACATGTTCATTCAATCAGACAGCAATACCTTGTAGTAACTCCCTTATATGTAATCGGCCTTTACTAAAATCCTACATTTCCTCTGTGTTTTATCAGTTCTCCCAGTTCTTTGTTAGTAAATCAAACACACTCTCCCATGGACTTCTGATTGTTCATGCAAGTTATTCTATGCAAAGAGATTTCGGCAGTCTCTCAACTTGTAAAACTGCTAATCTGTCCCATGGTTCTTGAGAAGAAACCGACAGAGATTGAGCCTTTCTGTACCTCTTCAAATCATTAGCAGAAGTAAAACAACAGCCATTTCCTCATCAAATTAGGATGCCCATTAACTGTTGTAATGAATACACTACTTTTGATTCTCCTGTTGAATCAATTTAGTATTTTGTTCTGCATATGAACTCTAAAGAGTCTCTTGTGTTAAAGGTGGGGTATGTAATTTTGAAGAAACCAGCTCGAGTGCGCTATCATTTGAAAATACACAGCTGGAAAAGATCTGCCACTTCCTTACAGAGCCCCTCCTCCAACACACACGAACGCGCACATGACCAATGAGGGCACGAGATAAGTTTGTGCACAGATGGAAGGCTGACAGGCAGGTAGCCGGGCCGGCTAAAATGATTGGTCGTGCTTTTTAAAGTACTACGGCTTCCACAGATGTCATTTTGTTATGGATTTTTTGTCAAAGCACTTAAGATATTCATTGCTATCGGGATGTTAAGAGCATTCCATGGAATATAACAAAAAGTGTATCTCTTGCCGGTTTCTCAAACTTACCTACCCCACCTTTAAACTAGGAGGTTCCTGATGAAATGTAGGGCAACAATTATCACAGTGTGCAATTAACGTGTAGTTAATTTTTGTTTCTCTACATGAATTGGAAACTTTTCTCAGTAATTTACCCATCTAAATTGATTAAAACTGACACATACAATATGTATACCACTCCACAAGAGTCACAAGAAATTAAATAATAATAGTTATAGCTGGAAATAATTGGTTTTCTGCATGTCCATGTGTCTTTGTAATTAAATGCATGAATACTCTTGGTTTAGGAGTGGGAGTAGTGAGAGCTTTGCATGTATTTAGTCATAAACTGAAGTATAATGACAATAGGTACAAAACTCAACTTTATAGCAAATACAAATATAAAATGAATGCAAAAATAAACTGAGACTAGAGACATAGAGACCAAGTCAATAATGTTAATGTTAACTATAATGTTAACTCACGTAAAATATACTGAATCACAATTGACATTGACAGTAAACTATTTTAGGGCATGTCAAGTAAATAATCGCTAAAAGTTTACAGAAGGTGCAGAATTATCCTTAAACAGAATGAAATGCACATTGATTATACGGTATGTGTAATATATTAATATATGAATAATGTACACTATAAAGATCATTGAGTCTGTCCTTGTTGTACTATAAAGTGAGAGAAGGCGTTACTGTCAGTAGAGTCCTCTGTTGTTGGAACTTAAAGATTATAAATCATGTTGCTTGGACTTTTTATGTCTATTTATGTAATTTCACTCAACCACAAATATAAACCTGTTTGACGCTACAGGAAAAAAGCCAGCAGGTCATCAAAGTTATGGGATGTAATGTCTCAACACCATGAATATGTGTACACATTTTCATGGCTGTGTTCTTCACTGGTTTTTCTTCTCTTGTTTGATTTTGATTTGTAGTTGTGAATAAGCAGCTCAAAGTCTATTTTGATAAGTATAATATGCCGCATGAACACCATGAATTGCCTACAAGGAAGCATAAAAGAAAAAAACATGAAGATAAGAACCAGAATAAGGAAGAAGCACTCATAAAAGCTAATGAAATAGGTGAGAAAAAGATTATAGAATAACAAAAAAGGTTACGTTCAACAACTGAACAACTAAAATAAATTGATTAACACAAATTGAGACGAGAGAGAAAGTCAATATCGCAAAAGTTTTACAAAAATGTTCAGTTATCCTTAAACAGAATGAAATGTACATTTATTATATGTGTATTATATTAAAATGAAATAATGTACACAATACGATTTTTATTAGAGATATGATGAATACATGTAATACAGATGTAGTCCATGTGAGCATTCTGTCATCGTTGTACTATAAAGTGAGATAAGGCGTTTATTTTCATGGCTGTGTTCTTTACTGTCTTTTCTTCTCTTGTTTGTTTTTGATTTTAGGTTGTGATTAAGCGGTTCAAAGTCTATTTTTTAAGTATAATATGCCTTATGAACACCATAAATTACTAACGAGGAAGGATGAAAGAAAAAACATGAAATTAATAACCACCATAAGGAAGCAGACAAAAGTATAAAACTCACAAGTCAGTACGGTGTTGCACAAATCACTCTGACACAGGATTCAAGGTAAGATCAAAGCATGACAAACAATGCACAATAGAGAATTTAAACATGACTGAATTATCATTATTATCATTATTATTATTGCATTAAGTTTCAGCATGTTGTTTTGTTTGTCTTTGTCTTAGATGGCGTTGTATATTCTACTGCTGATGCTCACAGCCTGTGCTGCCACTCCTCAAGGTGAACATTTCATCTTCATTTAAAAAAGAGAAAACCAAAGTAAAACATCACAAGAAAGATACATGCGAGTGGATCTTGAGTACAGGAGTATTTTTTGTTTTTGTAGATCTCTCCGGTAAAATGTTTACCTTCCCTCAGGAAAGCAACACAGCTTATGTGCAACTGACACCAAAAAGAGTGGATTTCGGAGCTATAACTGTCTGTCTCAGGTAGTGTGCAAAGTGCAAAGCCAATGAACATATCTATATAGAGTATAACTGAAAATGAATGTATTCAATTTTTTTCTTTCAATTCCTGCAGGACCATTACAGACCTCAACAGGAACCACGTCCTTTTCTCTCTGTCAACACCCTCTGGTTCGGATGCTTTTCTCATATTCAAGTCTACTATTGATGAGATTCTAATCTATGTCCATGGTCCACCTGGAACATTTGGGGGAGAGGACTACAAAGTGAACACGTGGCACTCAATATGTTCTACATGGGACTCTGTGACCGGTGTGGTGCAGCTGTGGCTAGACAACAAGCCCTTCATTAGGAAATATGTTGGTGGAGCAAGAATCAGAAATCCTTCTATTATCATTGGACAGGTAAGTTTAATTTATAAGTAAAATAGTTGATAGAATTCCAGAAATGTCTCTTGATTGGTTAAATTCTGATTCATTTATTCTGTGAAGTACTGATTGTAAAACAAAACATTTACTGCATGGAAATATTTTGTTCACAGCTCACTACAGAAGCACTTTCTATCAAAGCTGTTATCTTATCAGTCTGATCATTTTACAGGAGCAGGATTCCCATGGTGGAGGATTTGACAAAACACAGTCTTTTGTTGGCATGATGTCTGATGTCCACATGTGGGACTACACCCTCTCCGCCTGTGAGATCCAGAAGTACATGCTTGACAGAAACCTAACTCCGGGTAATGTGCTCAATTGGAAGGCGCTGGACTACAGAACCTACGGAAGAGTGCTGACGGAAAAAAAAAACACTTGCTCATGTACAGAATAAATACAAAAAAATATATAAATGTCATACTCCTGACGAGGCTTTTTCTTTTGAGTATGAAATTCAAACACCCTGTCAGCTCGATCAACACATTTACCTAATTTCTGACCACCATCTTAAATGTGTGTGTTTAATTTTTCTTATTAAATCTACAAATTGTTATTTGTAATTAGATGACATTTGTGATATATCCTTTTGTTTGCCATGTTTGCTGCAACTTGTATGATGCTCTTCCTGACAGTTCATTCAAAATGGCACATTCTGCAGTCCTGTCTCCTGTCCGCCATTCTGACATAAATCATTTAATAATCTTAATTTCTTTGCATTTATTGTATAGTTTTGACATTTTATTATTATATCATGGTCTTACCAGAATCAATGTTAATACAAAAGTTCAAGGCCTAGACCTTAAGAGAATGGCTTGTGACTACAACTATTACGTCTATATATTGATCCTTATTTTGTGGGTTTTTCACCCAACATTTTATAACTCCATTACATTTCACAAGCCTTTTTCAAAAAACACATGTTTAGATGGATTTAGGAACTCCCCCTCGATTATATTGGCTCTAACGGTTCAAAAGTGGTGTCAATCATCAAAATCGACCGATGGGTTCCAGAGATATGGCAAATCCACCCAAATGACCCCAGAAGTGGGTTTTTTTCCCCTAGACCTCTCTGAAAAAGTCATAATTCACTTGTTTTGCATCAATCTTGATACAGGGTACTTATTATATGTTATCGTTTGGATTCTTAAAGCTTTTAGTCTACTATCCCATCATTCAAGGGTGGTTTTCACTATAAGTAATGGGGTTTCTTTTGGGACGGAAACTATAATTTACATTTTATTTCTATGTTCAATCTGAATTTACTTTAAAATAAAAACATCTATATAGATTCTGACTTTTCTACATCCAACTCACAGGTTTATTGTCACGAACGAGCTGAGAACCAAAATGCAACACGGGAGACCAGGGAAAGTCGGTAACCAGCTTTATTATAAATTGTTTCCAATGAAAAGTTCTGGTGTAAGACAAACCAGCAGACAGTAGGCAAAGGGCTAGTCGGGGACAGGCGAGGGTTCCAGGAGTAGGCAAGACGGGAGACGCAGGTACCGGCAGGGTCAGGGAGCAGGCGAGGCAGAATAGTCCGGGTACAGGTAGGGTCAGGAAACAGGCGAAGCAGGCTGGTCAGGGACAGGCAAGGTCGAAACCGGGAGAGCAATCTGGGAGGTAATGCTGGAAAGAACTGCATGCTGCGAAGTACGATCTGGCACTGAGGTGAGAGTGAAGGGGGCCTATACTAGTGGAGCTGATGGGTGTAACAGAGTGTGAGAGAGAAACAGGGTGTGACTACCAGGTGAAGGTGGCTGAGAAATGCTAATGCAGAAAATAGGTGAGTGAGGGAGCAGACTGTGACATTTATCATTGCTTTGAGAAGAAATATTATTAATTTACTCCTTTTGGAAGTTTAATTTATAAGTAAAATGTTGATAGAATTCCAGAAATGTCTCTTGATTGGTTAAATTCTGATTCATTTATTCTGTGAGGTACTGATTGTAAAACAAAACATTTAATGCATGGAAATATTTTGTTCACAGCTCACTACAGAAGCACTTTCTATCAAAGCTGTTATCTTATCAGTCAATTTTGCAGGAGCAGGATTCCCATGGTGGAGGATTTGACAAAACACAGTCTTTTGTTGGCATGATCTCTGATGTCCACATGTGGGACTACACCCTCTCCGCCTGTGAGATCCAGAACTACGTGGATGAACTAAACTTCACTCCGGGGAATGTGCTCAACTGGAGCGAGCTGGATTTCCAGATCACTGGAAGAGTGCTGACAGAAGATAAACAAATGACCTGTCACTAAACTTGTAAAGTTTGAAAAAGTGAATGCTTTAATTTCTGATTAAACCTAATGATGTCAGCATGAGTTTTTGATGGTTCAGATCAATTGTTTCCTGCCTGTGCTAGACTGAGCAAAACATTACTCCAAGGTTCAGCTCAGGCTACAACAAGGTCTGTGTAGGCTAGAGTTACCCGAACCATGTTTCTTTTGACACCATATTTTTCAATAAATGTGTTCTACAAAAGTTTTGCTTCATTTCCAGTGTAGAGATAATGAATGATTATTCTGACCCCCAGCAACATATAGGGCTCAAGGAAGAAATGAACCCAAATGCACAAATTATAAGCAAGTTAAAGTAAAGTAAAAGGTATGTTTACTTTGTCGTTGAACACTTAAGTGCTTTGTCACAGGAAAACAAAAGGACATGGTCATGAGAAATATGTTTGATGAGGATGTGACAGGAAAAATGTGGTTTGGAGGTCACGTGACACGCAAGAAAACCAGCAGATTGGCAAATGTGATTAAAAAGTTACAAATAAACTGACATGCTTGTGTTAAGACTTAAAAAGACTACAAACCGATTACGTATGTCTTTCAATAATGAACATTTCAAAAGGCCATATTGATTTATCTCAAATATCATATTCAGAAGTGTATTACAAGGTGCAGAGAAACAGTTCTCAATTGAACGTCAATCTGCCATTGAGTTTTCTTGCTAACTTTTCTTGCTAAATGACCACATGTGTACAATGCTTGTGGTGATATTCAGACAGAGAGTAATCACGGCATCTTTACGCAGACATTTAAACAAACTACCACTTGGCCTACAGCACATGTTTTGTAAAGTTCAGTGTTACTCCCCACTACTACTTATTTCGGTTTTTAAAATAAAGGCAGAGATGCTGCTCCATGACTGCTGTGCAGGGCCGGCCCTAAGCGAGCTTTGGCTTGGGGGCTCTAGCACGTTCTCACTTCACACAACACGGAAACACATTGTGTCTTATGATGTTAGCATAAGCACACATATTGTATAAATAAGCATGTAAACACCGTGGACCTAACATCCTCTAGGGGGGTCCTCACCTCCTCTAGGGGGGTCCGGGGGCATGCTCCCCCGGGAAGATTTTTTTTTAAATATTGAAGTTAAAAGCATCAATCTGGTGCACTTTGAGAGCAACATTAAGAGATCTATGGATACATCTCTCAACACCCATATGAAACAGAACTGTAAACAGATTTTTCTTTATGGATATTTTACAAATCACTCCCCTTTTAAACTGTATTCTTGTTTTGTCATATAGTATTTCATAACTGTTTTTCATTTATTCTCTCTGGCTGTCCATCTCATAATGTTCACATAAAAACTAGCTGTCAATAGGAATATCATTCAGAAGAATTATAATTTCATGCAAAAATCTGTCACAAAAGAGTTTGCACATTTAAATTCAGGTGTTGTTATGGCAACGTCAGTGGCCAAACAGCCACATTTACTGCTGCAAATACGTTCAAACATGCTGTCGACACGTAAAGCAGTGGCAACTATGCCACCATTTCAGCTGACTTTTTCTCAGAAATACTGTCACACAACATCCATATATTTCAGTGCTAGGTTGATGCTTAGCTAAGCTAACTATGAAACACTTTAACTGACAGGACTCAGGATCAAATCAAATCAAATCAAATCAGGTTTTATTTATATAACACATTTAAAAGCGATTTTTGGTCGAGCCAAAGTGCTGTACATGTAATAAAAACACATTACTACAAATCACACTAAACGACAATAAATTACAACAGATATATCTTAAAAACAAAATAAAAATAAAACACACGGAAAAGTCAGGAGTCGTGCTCCGCTCTAACTAGAAAGCCAGAGAGAAGAAGTGTGTTTTTAGTTTAGATTTAAAAACCCCTAGGGTCTGGGCCGACCTCACATGGAGGGGCAGAGTGTTCCAGAGCCTAGGGCCAGCTGCTGCGAAGGCTCGGTGCCCTCGGGTTTTTAGCCTGGTCTTGGGCACTACCAGCAGCAGCTGGTCAGCAGACCTTAAAGCTCTGGCTGGGGTGTAGCGCTGGAGCAGTTCAGCTATATAGGCCGGAGCCAGCCCATTTAGTGCTTTAAAAACAAATAAAAGGATTTTAAAATCAATTTTGAACCGAACTGGAAGCCAGTGTAGTGAGGCCAGAATAGGGGTGATGTGGTCGCGCTTTTTGTGGCCAGTCAGCAAACGTGCAGCAGCGTTTTGGACTAGCTGTAAGCGTTTAATTGAGGCCTGGTCCATACCCACATACAGAGCGTTACAATAGTCCAGTCTCGAGGTTACAAAGGCGTTAATAACCCTTTCTAAGTCATTAAAAGATAAATACGACTTGGTTTTGGCCAATAGTCTTATTTTAAAAAAGCAGGATTTTACTACGGTGCTGACCTGCTTGTCGAATTTAAAAGTGCTAGTGAAGGTCACTCCAAGGTTCATGACCGAGGGGAGGATGTTTTTTTTGATAGAGCCCAGAATATCAACCGGAGAGGCTGGAGGTTGCGGTCCAAAAAAGATGACATCGGTCTTGCTCTCGTTGAGGTTGAGGAAGTTTTTGCTCAGCCAGGATTTTATCTCTGCTAAGCAGTCCATCAACTGCTGTAGTGAGTGTGTGACATTTGCTTTGAGAGGCAGATAGATCTGTACATCGTCGGCGTAGCAGTGGAAGGGAATGTTATGTTTTGTGAGTATTGAACCTAGGGGCAGTATGTACAGTAGAAAAAGGATGGGGCCCAGAATCGAGCCTTGGGGAACCCCACAGGTAAGAGGGGCTTTGGCAGAGGAGAAGGCACCTAGCTGTACCGAGAAGCTACGGTCTGTCAGGTAGGACCTGAACCATGCAAGGGCAGAGCCTGTGATGCCAGCGGACTGTTCAAGCCGTGACAGCAGGATGCTATGGTCCACAGTGTCAAAGGCAGCTGTCAGGTCTAACAGCACCAAGACAGCTGGGCTACCTGAGTCGGCGGCTAGGAGCAGATCATTAAAAACTCTTAAAAGGGCTGTTTCAGTGCTGTGCATGGGTTTAAAGCCAGACTGAAACTTTTCATGGATTCCATGGATGGTTAAAAAAGACTGCAGCTGGGCGTAGACTACTCGCTCCAGGGCTTTTGATAAAAAAGGTAGCTGGGAGATGGGCCTAAAATTTGCGAGAATGGAGGGGTCGAGGATCAACTGTGTACTGTAAGGTAGCTTCTAGCTTCATGTCGAACAGTAAGTCAACATTTCCCAGAGAGCGTTCTTTGAAATCACCAGGTAACGCTAAAAAACATTACATTTAGATTGTATGACAAAGCGTTTATTTAATATATCTGGCTAGCAGTGACGTGCGGTGAGGTTCATGGCTGGTGAGGCACTGGCTCTTTCAGAGTCAGATTTACAAATAGTATAGCCTATTTTGACCTTAATCGAAATATTCTGTTATTTTCAAAAGCTTTTTTAGTCTGATGCTATGATTAATTTTAAACAGACCGATCAACAAAAGGATACCCAAAATCTAAATATTGGATTGTTCTTTCTAAGTAAGATCCCATTTTCATTACAGTTGTGGTCTTACCTTGACTTGAAGATGAATAGAAGTCCATGCTATCCTTCTGGACAACAATCTCTATTACTGTTTTGTAAAAGTCGTCCTTATCTTCCTGTAGTTTCAAAAGTCGAGTTTGTTGTTTGCGGTAGAATAACAGTAGCAACAAGAACCTGTGGGCTCACGTGCGCCCCCTTCAGTGCGGCAGAGGTTATGGCTGCCTCCCCTGGGGATTTTTTCATTGCCGTTGTATATGTGTAGCGAGCCTAAATATCATATATACGTGAAATAAGTTATTTAGAGACTATGGATGGCGAGGATAAATGTAATAAAGGGATCTACAAACATTACATTGGTGACCTACAGTGAGATGGGAACAGGCATGCGCTTCGGGCCCGCTTTCCAGCCAGTTTCTGTGGGGTGACGCATTCTGAATTGAGGCAGATCTCGTCTGTGCCTCACCTACCCCACAGTAAATGGCTTGAGCGCGCTCACAAAATAAGTGGCCGCGCTAAATTAGTGCCCGCGCTCCAGCAAGTTACTGTGGGCTTACGAGAGGCAGAGCTCGTCCCTGCCTCACTTCTCATCGCTCCCGTAGCGGAGCTCGGCCAATTTTCTGATTTTGACTATAAAATGCGATTGGAATCATACAGAAATCACATTTACACAAGATCAGTGGAGACATTTTATTATTATTATTATTTAGTTTTTCTTTAATTGTTTTTCCGTTACATTGGAGTATGACAGGTGAGGCTCTGCCTCCCCTGCCTCCACTGACTGCACGTCGCTGCTGGCTAGCTATAGCTACTTGCTAACGGTTTAGCTTACCCCCGCGATTCAAAGTAACGTCAACGCAGCTGTAATTTCTCCTGGCTCAAGTGCTGGCTCTGGGGTTGTTGTGTGAACCACCACTTGAGAATTGTCGTCTTTTTTAAGAACAAATGTTCTTATGTCCATCTTCAAAAACTCTGAGTCTGAGACTGACAGTTTATTTTAAACATTGTCAGAGCTCACAGGATAGGTACCTGTCAGACAGACAGATGTTTATTTCCATTCAACTCTCTGGTTGGTCTGGTGTCTTGCCTCTGTTGCATTCACTGAACACGGGAAATGACAATCCTGCCGTCCTCTCTAGTGTCATGATGAGGTTCAGGTAAAGCACGGTTAATGTATTATATGATTGACTCAATAATATATATTTTTTTTTTCAATTTTTGCTAGGGGGCCCTTAGTGGCTGCGGGGCCCTAAGCGGCCGCTTATGTCGCTTAATGGGTCGGGCCGGCTCTGCTGCTGTGTATAACACCCTGACAACTTCACATAGAGATAATATTGTGCTGTGGAGCTGTCAGCTTGTTTGAAACATAGACTGTATATATAAATGGACGTAGGGTCCGTGACGTCACCCATAGGATTCTGCAGAGTTGCCGAGAAGCCCTTAGTAGGCGGAGTCGGCCACTAACGGCTCGACAGTGACGTCTGAGTCTAACTCCCGCCTGCTCCAAATAAGGGCAAAGAGGCGGAGCCGAGGCGGGACCTTCTGCCTCCGAGCTGGAAGTAACAGAGCTAGCTCAAGCTAAGAAGCTAAGCTAACATGCTTCCCCATCAGCACACTGCCGTCACATTTTACGTTTCTAAGGTAAGCGGACATGAAACTATTCAGCAAAACTATAAATAATAATCTAAGTTAT